TCCTTTGAATGGGCTTCAAAAATATTAGGTTGACCGGAAAGTTTCCCGCCACGTGTTTGATCGCACCATATTAGCCTTGCATGTATGTTTATGACTTATCGTGGGGTGTGCATGAAGCACGCAAGAGACTCTTTCACATCACTACCTCACACTCACCCAGCTTGCATTTGGATTCCAAAATGCCGCCCAAGTTTCAACCCGACAGGATGCACCTGAGGCACTGTCTTCTTTTCCTTCATCAGTCTGGCTTAAACGCAAAGGAAGCCCAAGCCAAGATAGTGGATACATATGGCGCTGACGCTATCTCTTACGACACGTGCAAGACCTGGATGGCCAAGTTCAAGAAAGGAGATTTTTCTCTCCAAGATGCTCCAAGGTCCGGCCGGCCGATGGAGTTAGACTTGAAGTTGCTGCAATCCACCGTGGAAGAGGATCCGTACGCCACTACCAGGGAACTTGCAGCGATGCTCGGCCATGCCCAATCAACTGTTGAATCTGGGCTGGAGAAGATTGGTAAAGTCGCAAAGCTTGGCCGTTGGATTCCTCACCAACTCACTGACTACGACATCATGAGGAGGGTCGACACTTGCACTTCACTCCTCACTCTCCAGAAGAAGTACAAGTTTCTCGATACGCTGATCACTGGAGATGAGAAGTGGGTTCTCTACAAAAACCCTGTGAGGAAACGGCAGTGGGTCAACAAGGGAGAAGAGCCACAACCCGTCCCAAAGCCCGACATCCACCCCAAGAAAGTGCTCCTATCGTGTTGGTGGTCACGACGCGGCATCGAGCACTGGGAGCTGCTTGAGAAGGGGCAGACCATCAACGCCACTACCTACGTCACCCAGCTGAAGAAGCTCAAAGCCCACATTCATCGGACACGCGGACGCGGAGCCGACATCAGCTTCCACCACGACAACGCTCGACCACACACTGCGAAGGCAACCCAAGCCGAGCTGGAGAAGTTCGGCTGGCTTGTCATCCCTCAGCCTCCTTACAGCCCTGACCTTGCACCTTCCGACTACTGGCTCTTTAGCCACCTCCAACGCTTCCTGAACGGGAAACAGTTCGAGAATGAAGACGACATCAGGGAAGCAATCGACGGTTCGAGCAATCGAATGGTTTTTTCAAGTCCCAGCCCCCGTCCTTTTGGGAGGAAGGAATCGACAAGCTGCCAGAACGTTGGCGACAAGTTGTAGACTCTGATGGTGCATACCTCTGATTTCCAAGTTAGTTCGTTTTTAAAATATTTTTGAAAATTCAATGGCGGGAAACTTTCCGGTCAACCTAATAATACCATCATCAATGTAAATAGCGATTCCCCTGCCCTGGGCTCTCCACACCTTGATGAAACTGCGGAGCAATTTTGTAAAAATGTAGGGTGCAGGAGGACAATCCGAAAGGTAGGCACAAAAACTTGTAATATTTATCCTCCCAGTGGAATCCCAAAAAGTCTGTGTGGTTTTCTGCAATCCGCACATGATGATATCCGGCTTTGAGATCAAAAGTAGCCATAAAGCCTCCCTCAGGCAAAGCATTAAGAATGCTACTGATATCATCCAGCTTGATTTTTGGCACATGTAAAAACTTATTCAAGTGAGATAAGTCTAATACCAATCTAAGCTTTTTACCTTTGGCCACTGATAGAGGGTGAA